CTGTGTGGTGTACTGTAGTGCTGTGTGGTGTACTGTAGTGCTGTGTGGTGTACTGTGGTGCTGTGTGGTGTACTGTAGTGTTGTGTGGTGTACTGTAGTGCTGTGTGATGCAATGTAGTGCTGTGTTGTGCACTGTAGGTTATGAGTTGTGCTGTAGTATTACGGTACTTTGTGGTGTTATGTATTACTGTGGTTGTGGTGTATATGTTGCTGTGTGGTGTGTTGTAATGTGGCGTAGTGCGGTGCTATGTGGTACGTTGTGGTGTTGTGGGGGAGGATTCTCGAAAGTAGCTCGGAGGGTCTCTTCAAATGTTGTTAAAAGGCGAAGAAGCATACTGTCCACTGTGTGCAACAAGATGGTGGGATTTAAGTTAACGCATGATTTATGACTTGTATTTGCTTTCTCATTTCTTTTAGGATCTTCACATCGCGTACACCATTGCTCTAGTCATAGGCATATTCGTCATATGTTGGCTACCATTCTTCGTCACCATGCTGTTAAATAACTTTTGCCCAGCATGTAGATCCGTTGTACTTCTTTTTCCATACCTAATGGCCGTCAGGTTTTTACACTACTTTAACTCCATGTGTAATCCCATTATCTATTGCGTTAGAAATAAGCGATTTAACATGGCGTTTACTAGGATTTTACGTCGCATATTCTGCTGTATTAATCCAAAAAGTCGGCAACAAGAAAAAATTGATTTTAGAATGGCAAATTACAGGAACACCATCAGGAAGAAAACTATACGAAATGGCGAGCATGCGCAATTTATAACAGGATCTTGTGAACGTCGTTACATTAAACCTTGATAGTATCGAGTGGTTGAACCTCTGGGAACACCGAAGGAGAAGAAACACCGAAAATTGTGGCGAAAAACGGCCGCACGATGAAGCTCATTGACGCTATCGCAATCGGAATCCAATGCGATGATTAAGTACTAAAACTACTTTTGACCGTGCATGTCATGAAGCACATAACCTCACTTCAAACAAATACAATTTTGCGCTAGCTAGCCCGAGTTCACACTATTAGCGTCTAGTATAAAACATTAAACTAATTCGTATATATGAATATTAGTATAAAAAGTCTCAGCTCTTCTTGTCCGCAATTGTCATTCAGTGGTTGTATTCACACGAAATCTTTGGGACACATATAGTAAGTGACCGGTCATTGTTTAATTCGAGAAATAATTTCGTTGAGAAATAGGGGGGTCTTGAATGTTTAAAATCATAGTTTAGGGGGGTCTCGAGAGTACACGAAATCAATATATTTTTGAATAATTCTTATTACTCTTTCTGTATGAATTATTTGAAATTTCTCTCTAATTTGACTCTACTTTAATAGAAAATCTGTGCTGTTAAATTTCAATTTTTCCTCCCTATACACTTAATATTAGATTTGCCAAAATCTTACTCTCCTTCCTTATATATACGCCAGTGAACTTGAACGAGGTAAAAAGTTCGAATTTGGCACAAGCTAGCTTTTAGATACAGCGACTCTTTATCAGCCGCAGATCAACGCCCCTATCGGCTAGATGGAAAGACTCTAAATAGTGCTTTGTGTGGTATGAAATACAACATGTAGCACAAGGTAAGACTTCTGAATCGTTAAACACTTTATTTATAGGATACATGCGTTTACAGGCGTAACACGTTGTATGTAGAGATTACCGACAAAAACTTAGTTTACTTGATTCACGGTTATTGGCTTCTTATATGTATTTCTAGAACGTTGTACAAGTCGGTTGAAGCGGAATATTTTGTACAGTGAGAATTCCCCATTCCTGTTTTATCAATACTTCTGAAAAGCATATTTTTAGTATTCTTTATTTTTATTTCTATTAAATCGAGTTGTCCATGACATATTTCCTCAAGTATTCCGCGTTTAGTCCACAATATTTTGCTCCGGTATTCAACTCCGAGTACAACCATAGCTATTGAAAATAACACAAGAGTTATATTGCTTGTTTGGAGTATAACATAATATTTTTGACAATTTATATATAAATATATTTGCCTAACAATAGTAATTTATTAAGAAATAACTCATTTTTCCTCTACACTGCTACTGACGCTATTTGGGTCTCGTGATTTCCGTGATGTCTCTGAATCTTTGCAAAACCTTTGGAGATGATTCTCATTCTTTACTGTAATGTGAAAGTTATACCATGGGTAATGGCTATTTAGCAAGGAAATGACATTTTTAAACTTGAGTAAAAAAAAAACCGGTAATTTATACCACAAAACTAGCAGTATCGAGCTCAAAACCAGCCATGCATAAGAAGGTGTCAGTGCTAGGTCAAGAGTACTGTCTGGGTACGCTAATATAATGCCTACAAAATTTGCATTGTATCGTTGACCACCATTGGTCAGTATGAACACAGCGAGGCTTGATGTTTTTTTAACTCTCCCGCGACGGATGTATGGAGTGTATGGCATGATATTCTTTTCGAATGTTTTAATACGATGCAGATTCAATGGAAGGGGCCAGGGGGAGACGACAAAGCTTAAACTTATGACTTGAAGGAGTTAATTATTATTCTATAAATTGCAAAGTATATAAGAATGTAATAATGATTATGAATGAAATAAATTGATTGATTGATTGATTGAATCAGCGATGGAAATGGAGGAGGGTGGAGAGGAGGGGATAATACATAGCATAGAAACTAAAATTTGATAATTTCGTGAGCACAATTAAAAGTCTTCCCTGGGACCCGAGCGTTCAAAATCTCCCAAAATCACCCCAAAACTCGCTCGTCCATGTTTGATCGCGAAAATCTTCACGGCAATATTATTAATATCGAAGGAATTTTCAAACCAAAACTGCAATGACAATGTCAATCGATCGGGAAAATGTACACTCAGATCATGGTCTCAGTCATTCCTAGAGCATTTCTGTTGGCACCATACCAATAAATACACGAACCAAGTAGAGTACGAGCTTATGTGGGACTGTGGGGACCGGACTCAGTTAATATTTCGGTCCAGATTCCCAGACGATCAATTTGTACTCTGACCCAACTTCTCTCCACAAATTATATTATCATTGTAGTTGTGTATGAGAACACTCACTACTATTCGACAAAGCGAATGGCAAGGAGTCCCGATGGTGTGTCCAGTGCTCTGATAGCTTTTGGGAGTCCAAGCTGCCACTCCAGTCTTAGCGCAGGAGCTCTATTTTCGTCATTTTTCAACCTCCACTGGAAAAAATCGCGCACTTTAAAGGTTGTAAATTTGATGTAAATATGATGCAGGTGTCCAAAAATGCTGTAAATTTGATGTAAATCATATACATCAAATTTACATCATTATTTACATCAAATTTACAACCTTTAAAGTGCGCGATGTTTTCAAGACTGATCATCCAAGAATCACAAAGGAAATCCAAACAATAATTCGAAAGGAAATTGTGGAGTTAATCAACAGATTTATCGAGCGCACCACAGGAAATACTTCGACAATTGCATTACATGTGATGACAAGTTGTTGTCAACTGAACTCAAAGAAATAATACAGGCTAGTACACTAACCGACGTTGGAGCATCTAAAAGTATATCCCTCATATCCTTGGACACTTTGAGGTCAGCAGTGTTACCAAATACCCTCCTGCTATGCTGAGTTCGACTAATAAGAAAATAAAGTCTTTGAAATCAGCAAAAGCTTCGTCAAATCATCTGGTAAACAACACCGAATGTAGCTCGAATTCCTAAGGCGTGGCTATCATTCTACAAAAATGTGTCAGAAAATATTCGCCGTGAAAAGTGGAGTTCGTTCAGACATGGTAGAGTCCATGCTTAGGTTTTCCCATTCTCAAGGAAACTTTGGTATGAAGACATTCCAGAGATGAGAGAGGTAGTTATCACTGATCCCCACTGGTTGTCCGACAAGCTACGGACCCTCATCTCCTATCTGTCTGCTTTCAATGCTGTCTGTAAGGGAATCCTCAAAACTTCATCTCTGCGAGAAGTCTGTCCTAATTTGACTTCTCTCACATACGCGTGCGTTGATGGCAAAATGGCTGAAGGTGAAGGTGAACTGTGTTTGTTGATCAAGATTCCATATTCGAAGAGTTTATTAATGGACAGGAAAGCAAACATAACTAAAGCAAGTCGAGATGTTTTTCTTCAAGACCATTAAGTTTTTTTCAATGATCATAAAAGCATGGAAAATATACACCAAAACAAACTTTGAAACTGAAAATTGTAGAAATTTGTCTCGTTCGTGTTCAGTTCAGATCGTTTTATACCAAGTTGTGATCGTTTTCTTCAAATTAAAACTAATCTTCATGCAATATAGAAAGACAGGACTTCAACAAGACGATATATCATGGACCGCGGAGCAGGGGGGTCTGGGGGGCTACAGCCCCCCAATATTTTTTCCGACATTTTGAATTTTCTTAAATCAAGAAGCGAAGAGCCTCCTTATGAAATTTCACCATATATATTCTATAAAAATTGTGTAAAAACTGAGCGTGAACAATTAAAATTGAAGCTTTTTTAAGAAGTCTTTGGGATTTATTAATAATATTGCTGACCGTGTGTGCGTTAAAAATGTCTTTGAGAACGCCTCAAAACGCTGAAAATGACATTTCCGAGAGTTCAGATTTCAAAAATTTCCAATCCCCCCCATCTTGTACCTCCTTGCCGCTAGCCCCCCAAACAAATTCACGCTCCGCTGTCCCTGTAGATGTACGGTTTTTCATATTCCGACCAAGAAGTAGGTTCTTTCTCTACGATAAAACTCTTATATATTGTTGTTTTAACCTGTACTTACTATAAAATGTCACTAAAACTCAGTAGGTTTTTGCACAGGCAACCCAAGCAAAGCATTTGATTCAAAATTGTTTTTTTTAATAAAATACATTTTACCTTAATCTCATGTGTTGCTGATGTTATTCTAACATTGCTGTGTGTGATTTTGAAGGATTTAGAGCTATTTTTAAAAAAATATCGCCATCAGTCATAAAAGACTACAAGGCTGGTTACAGAACTTCCACACCAATCGTCTTTRAAGGCCGAAAAAAATATCTTAAATCCATCTTTTGCCTCCAAAATCCCCTCAGCGKCWTRTCTCTAGGATCHTTYTATCCAGAATTGGGCAATATTTCAACGGACTTCAAATCCAACCGTGCCAAATCGTCATGTTTTTACGCTGATTCTGACTCAATTTTTGAGTCGCGGGAGAACGCGAATATTTTATATTGCTTATCAAATTCCAACATAAGCTAAAGCATATTTCGAAAAATAATTCAGGATAATTATCATTTGTAAGAGAAAATCAAAGTTTAAATCGTATGCAAATCAGGACAAATGTCTTTTTCATATAAAGATGCGGTCACGGTAATGACTTTGCATTGTTTACCTTATGAATTATTAATGATTTTGATATCTACAGAACAAACAAAATCTATTAACTTATTAAGTTTGTTTCTCAAAGAGTTGAACATGATGGTCTCCTTAATTATGCATATAATAAACATATTTGAGCATGGAAAGTGCTTTCTACGGGATTTTATTCATGAGTTATTTGTATCATACAACGAACGAGCACACCCTAATCAAAACTGTTTGGTGGCGTTAATGCTAAAAGTAACTACTGTATTGTTTTCTTTTCAGTGTGAGGCCAGACATACCCAACTAAAAGGTAAGACGAACAGATTTTTATACCGATTTTTATTGTGTTACAAATGTCGAAGTATATTTATTTTGATATCTAAGTGTAGAATAGTCATCCAGTCGTTAATAATTAAATAAAGTGATAAGTCAATTACTGGAAAAAAGTTGAAACGATTCACGACGTTTCGATCGATTACAGCGATCTTCCTCAACCACCAACCAGGGTTTTATTGTGAGGCAAACGGCGAGGAACGCCTTTCAGAACAACATCCCATGAGTGTGGTAGGTTGAAACGTAGGCCGCCCCTTCTGTTTAAGGTGGGATTTTCAATTCGTTCATAGATGGCGTCTTTAATCCCTCTCCTCCGCCAATCAGCTTCTCTGTCCAGAATGGTGACGTCATTGTCAATATCGTTTCAACTTTTTTCCAGTAATTGACTTATCACTTTATTATTTATTCTTTATTACTTATTCACTATATTTATTTTGGTTCGCATACATTAACACGATTATGGAGGGCAAAGCAGCGCAACTGATGACTGTATCATATATGATCGACTTTAAAGCCATTTATCTTGATAAACCTTGTTACTGTTATGATTGCCTTTTTATCTTATTGTCTCGTTGTTGTATTTTAAAGGACTCTACTGGCGCTGTGTATATTCCTTCGGCTGCTTCAAGAGAATATTGCTGAACATGGCTACGTTTCCATTCATGTTTAATTCAAGAATGAGCATAATTCATGAAAGGGTAGTCGACAAAGTCAACTTATTCTTTACAAAGTCTGGCGTCGATATTCACAGTAGTAAAGAATTTAATTCGATATCCGATATTTTCGATGTTAAAGTTGACATTGATAATACTATCATCAGTGTATGGTTTTGGATGTATCAATATTTCGAACAGAACCATCATACATTCATATGCTTTTATGACTATCACGAATTATCCGAAACTTTGACCCTCAATGATGCATGGGAAAATCTGATGAAAACGCACCCTGGCTTGGATTTCGATGACGGCTTAATACTGTTAGTTGTAATCAAGGATGACGGCCAGAATAAAGAAATCAAGTTAATGCCACAATTGCAGAAACCAAATTTTAGATGTGTTGAATGGAGTGCTAATTCAAGTGAGCAAGATACTAGAAGGATACTTGAGGATTTCGTAAGAATGGTAGTAATAAAGGAATACTACCACACAGTTCATCAATTACATGAAAAGGGCTGTGTCAACCAAGACGAAGATCGACAATTTATTTCTGAAGATGTTTCTACTAAAGCAAATAGTTGGTCGATGGATTTTGGATCGTTATTTTCAATGGTGATAGTACGATATTTCGACTTGTACAGGATAGTCCTCTGCTACTGTTTTTATTCATTTTCGAAAGGGCTTAATTCTTTCAGAATATTTTGGAAATGTCCTTCCGAATGGTCTCATTTGAAGTACAAATCAGGTAGAAACACGCCGGATAACAAACTGTGTTATTTTGAATGGATTGATCATACCTGGAAATTGCCAGTTTCATCACCCAATAATCTAGTATCGATCTTTGTTTACGGAAATATTTCTGACTCGATGATTCAATCTTTAGAATCTCAGCAATCTCGGGAAGCTGAAATTTTTGGAAGAAGTTTACTGATCGATTATTGCCGAGAATTGGATTTATATTTGATAATATCGCGGTTGAAGTCACTTCATCACTTAGTAATTTTCAATTCATTTGTGCATTTCGAAAGCCTGGTTTTTCCTACTCAGTTATGCGAAACATTGAAACACTTAGTGCTGACGAGGTGCGGCCTAACTGAAGTCCCTCATGCTGTAGGCAGTCTCATTCAATTGACCCTTCTCGATGTTTCTCTTAATCATAACATTCATTTCCTACCTGTGTGCCTTGGAAACCTCAGAGAGCTTCGTACATTATTGTATGAAGATTGTCCTATTAAATCCCCACCAAAGAATGTGCTCAGGCGATCTGCTCGAGAAGTCGTTCTTTATCTTCGAGCCTTTCAAGTTGACAAGGAAATAGTTCCTTACAATCAAGCAAAGCTTATTGTAGCTGGTCAGGAAGGCGTCGGGAAAAGCACTCTTATCAAAGGAATGGACCGCAATATCTGGGCTATATCTGATGTCAAGCCACCTGAAAAAACTGATGGAGTTGAAATCAAAACTCTTCAGCTTGAAGGAACTCGATTTCTGGTTTATGACTTGGCCGGAGATGTGGAGTACCACAACACTCATCCCTTGTTCTTGTCATCGGAATGCCTCTATTTGGTTGTTTTTGACATGAGCCAAATCCATGTAGGTAAAGGGGCTCGATCGGTTGATCAGCTCTGCAGACTAGAACTCTGGCTTCAGATGATTGCTTCCCAGCAGACTAAGTCGTATGTCATTATCGTTGGCACACATGCAGATCATGAAAGAATCACCGCTGAAATTCTCAAAAGCGTCCGAAGGCAGATTGTAGATCTAATGGAGAAGTATCGAAGTGCACACAAGGAGTACTTTGACAGGTGCATTCTATGTAATGAGAAGCTGTTGCCAGAAGAGCTTCAAGAAGTAAACGGAGGTGTAACAATGGACGATGCTGCAGCATCTGAGAGTATTATTCCTCATGTCCTTGGATACTTTGAGGTCAGCAGCATAAAGAAATACCCACCTGCTATTGGTTTTACCAATAAAAATCTACAATCGTTGAAATCAGCAATTTCATCGTCTAATCGCCAGATAAATGAAGCAGAATTTGGAATTCCAAAATTATGGCGATTCTTTTACGAGAAGATGTTAGAAAATAAATTGACGCCGACTGTGAAATTTTCAGAAATTTGCAGTCTTGCTAGAGAAAGTGAAGTTCCATCAGACATGATAGAGTCCATGCTAAGGTTTTTCCATTCTCAAGGAAACTTCGTTTGGTATGAAGACATTCCAGAAATGAGAGAGGTAGTTATCACTGATCCCAACTGGTTGTCCGACAAGCTACGGACACTCATCTCCTATCGGCCTTCTGTAAATGCTGTCTGCGATGGAATTCTCCACTCTCCATCTTTGTCTGAAGTCTGGCCTGAAATGACAGAGGAAAATCGTCAACAACTCCTTGCTCTCTTTAGAAGCGTTGGCTTGTGTTTCAGCATTTCTGACGAAAAGGAGCTGTTTCCTTGCAATTTGCCCATCGGTTGGCCAGATAAGCGAAAGTGGCACTCTCTTCCCAAAGAAGGGGAAAGTCAAACGAGTCTTCTGTTCAATTTTACTTTCCTTCCTCCAACTTTCTTTCCTAAATTAATTATTGAGGTGAACAAGAAGCGAGCTTCATTTCCAGCCAACGCCGATCCACTCTACTATCGTTTCCACATATATTACGACACATTGAAGAATGATAAATGCGACATCCACAGCAACGAATCAAAAGAAGATGCGAAATCCAACACCAATCATCATAAAGTTCACTACGAGATAATGCCCCACAAAAATTCCATGAAGGTCTCCATTCGTGGACCGTCTCCCTGTTGCATTGTTTCTGATGTTTGTTCCACTATCAAAGGTGTCCATTCTTCTTCTTATCCTGGTGTTGCGTTCCATACACATTTAATTTGCCCATTATGTGAGATGGAAAAGGAAAACGATCCAGGGCTATTTTCCTTAACGTCAACGGAGGACGGAAACTTATTCTGCCTGACATGTCGGGAATATTTGGGGAGTATCGACGACACTAAACGTGGAAAGTACAAAGTACCTCAAAATAAGAACCAAGTAGAAGATTTTGGAAAAATTATGGAAGACTATCACTGCCCCAAACTGTTCGTGGTTCTTCCCATCAACATCAAATGTTCGTCTTTGAAGGATCGTTTTGTCTATTCCTATCTCAAAGATGGTTATGCCGTGCATCTGCTATGTGAATGTCCAGATCAATGGCACTTTGTCAACTCTCCTGGATTTCGTATTGCTAAACCCAAAGAGTTCCTGGAGAAGTATGGCAAACACTTGTGTACTGTAATGAAAGCCATTGGCAAACTCGGTACACCGCTTCGTGCTGCTGCAGCTGCTGAACCCCTCTGCAAAACTGGAGCAGCAGTTGCCTCGGGTGCTTCGTCGATTGCTAAAGAACTTGAAGGTTTTCTATTCAACGCTTTTGAAAAATATCCACAACTGAATCCAGCATCTTATCGAGACCTCGAAGACCTTAGGATGCCTAAAGGCCTTCAACGAAGTGAACTTGCTAAGTTCTTGGAAACTGTTGTAAATGGACGAGAGTTTGGTCCTTTGATGTTCACTTATGTCGACAAGTCTGGTGAGTGGTTATGGCTGTGTGAAGAGCACAACAGACGGTTTACAGTCGTCAACAAATAACAATGTCTTGGTAAGCACTTTTTGTCTTGAAGCGATATATACCACTAATATAAATTTTAATTACTAAATGAATGTATGTTTATAAGATAGAATATGTTATCACATGTACGGCGCTGTAAATGCAGCCCTACCCAACAACTAGCGAAAACCTCTTTGTGATTTATTTGTTTTATTGATTTGCAGTACAGTGAAGCTATGAGGGCAGTGAAGAGCGAGAGAATCATATGCAAGGAATTTACAGTCAATGATCAAAAATCGACCATTTTTGGGCATTTTGGTGGGCTATAGTCCATGCATTTTGATCAAAAATCGATCATTTTTGGCCATTTTGGTGGGCTATAGTCCATGCATTTTGCTCAAAAATCGATCATTTTTGGCCATTTTGGTGGGCTATAGCCTATGCTTTTTGATCGAAAAACAATGATCCACCAAAGACGCATGGAACTGGTTTACTTGTAGATAATGTATATAGATGTACTTTTATTTCTGTTCCTTTTATAGTCTTATTGGTTATATAATCTATCATAAACAGATAACGTACATAAATATTTAAAATGGCTGAGGTACGATTTCAGATTTTTCTACAATTTTAAATGATATATGCACCTATTTTAGAAACGTTGGTTACTCGAGATCGCACTGCATTCCTGATTGTTAGTAGTTTTATCGCCGTTCAAAACAAGTAACGCAGCTAACGTGGAGTTTAATAGCAATGCATTGCGGTCTTGGAATGCACTAGTAAACGGTATTCAGCATTCAACTTTTTCAGAGTTTTCTGAACTAATTTTCTAAAATGATGTGTTTATTCTACATATCAAATTTGCTTGTTAATTGTGTCCAGTGGTCAGTTTGAACGTAGATTGGAAAAAGCTATCCAATAGATAGAGATACTCACTCCATAGATTTTTAACGGACTCGATCTATAATCTGTGGCATAGCACTATCCACCCTTTGTACAAACTGGCCCCAGGTCAATGCTTATAAATCGACTAGATTTAATGATTAATGATCTGAATTCCGCGGCTATGCGTCGGCAGTGAGCTTGTTTTGTCCAATGAACACGTAATACATGAGTTGGGATATAATGTCACGAGAGTGTGAGTTTGTATGAGCCATGAACAAAATAGTCCTTGCCGAAGAACCACTTTTCTAATTAATGAAAGTAACCTGATGAAAGAGAAATTCTCAAGCGGAAAGCTCAGTTCATGGAAGACGAGGAGGAGCTCACTGGACGCTAAGTTAGCCGCCCTTTGTTCATATTCAAATGAAATCGATTAACCTGTCACATATCAATCAAAAATCAGAATTTCATGAAGCTATTTTGTAGCTTAATTAATTAATTAATAATTGTTTAATTAAACCCATTGCAGCAAAGCTGAATTGCGGGTCAGCCAGCATTACAACTCAAAACATAAATAATATAAATATATAAATAATACAGCATGGTTCGTAATATATTAATAATCTATTGATAGTCTATTGATTTGATTAAAAATGGTTTTAAAATAGCTGTTTGCCTTCTAAGTTATAATGACAATCAAATCACGGCATTAATGCAAATATTCATATATAGTTCATAATTCTGGTTATACAGAACTGAGGATTACTATTATACTTTTTAAGAGGAAGAAAAGACGAAAAACAATAAAAAAACATGACTGTATTCTAACGCTCTTTGGTGTTTAATAGTGAATAAGACAAACACTTCGAAATTTAATGGATCTCCATAGAAATGTGCATTTAAAGTGCCTATGACGGCTGACAAAAAAAATTCTGATTCTCTTTGAGGTGACTCTATATGAAATAAATAACTGAATGGTGATATTCCTGCATTTCAATGTTGCCTCTTTGAGCTATGTGAAGGTTCAATCTTACAATTACCGTCAAATTAGGCTTCATTAGATACACGAACTTTCTTTGTCATCCCTTATAGTGTGATGGAAAACTTTCAAAAGGTATTATTTACTTTTTTAAAATATTTCTAAATTTAATTATTATTTTAAAAATATTATTTTAAAATATTCCGGTATTGCCGATCAGATCTGGATAAATGGAAAGTACTCTTTCTGTGCTGAATGAATAAAGATTACAGTGCTTGCTAGCGGATAATATCTTATTCTTTTAGAGGAAGAAAGATCTAAATGAATAAAACAACAATTGCAAGGAACTAGAAGATTAAAAGCAATAGAAAAAATATTTCATTTTTTCAGTCAAAAAAGTACAACTTCATCATCATAAAACGAATTAGAAATAAACAAGCTCTTTTATAAAAATCTTTTTTTTTATCTTATTTAATATATATATCGGTAACATGAAGAAGGTTTTGGAAAGTCTATCGAGAAAAGCCGAAAAATAATTCCCACTTTTCATTTCGTTTGCTCTTATTAATACTTTATAATTGCTATCGATATAGTATTTTAAAACCATTTTTAATCAAATCTTGCGGACTTTATATTTCATTGCACATATCTCTCGTCTTTCCCTCTCGCCATTGGACGTCTCCAATATCAAATAGCTCCACCATTCTTGTGGATATTGGTTGAAGCTCTCGCCAGCTGTTACCATTATAATTTGCATAACGAAAGCGAATACAAAAACAATCTTGGCTGTGGTTGTCTATACGGGAGTGAAACAAGGCTGTATTTCTGCAAAATCATCGCTTAAAAAGCTAGATTATTCGATATTGTGGGGTAAGTACACTTGTTCGATCACATATTCATGTTTTGGGTCGAATTAAATGATGTACGGATGAATTGCTGTTAGAAATTTAGCTAAGACTGTCTTCTCAATCATGTTTTTCCCTGTCACAGAAGCTAAATTGTTTCATATCTCGGGTTTAGATTAAGAATTTCATTCAGAATTTTAGATAATTTGGTGTGGATTTTCGCATTTTAGTTTTGTGATGTTACTTCAATGAAGAATGTTCATCGTTTAGTAGTAAAGGTGTGTGTTTGACCACACGATCATCGGCGAGAGATCTCAAACAAGTTCCGTCACGACTTTCATTTCTGGGTGTGTTGAATGACAGGTTTTTGAAACGAAATTTTAACACGCTTTTCATAAAAATATATAGAAACTCTTAGTGGTCGTCTTGAAAACGGTGAATTTCTTTAAGAAGTTGTGTTATAAATTGATGATACACTCTGGTAAGTTTACGTTAAATCATAGTCTTAGACTAAAATGTTTTTCGCTTGGAAATTTCAGCAAGCATATATATGATTAAATTTGACTAGAACGTATAGTTTGTCAGGTAAATTCATTTTATTTTGACCAAGATTAAGTTATACTTAAGGCTGTAAAATGCAATTTTATTGACTCCAAGTTGCTATTCTTGCCGTAGCAATTATAATTGAAACGGTTTGTTGCATATATATTGATATACGTACATAGCAAAGGATAGTGTGGTAATAAACATAACAGTAGCAACAACAATGATAGCAATTTTTTATAATTATCCTTTGGAAAAAATTGTGACCATCATCAAAGGCATCATGGGTAATTTCAAGTAATTTTATGATTGTGCAGCAATATGCAGAAATTATGATCTCTTTTGCCCATATTTTAAGTATATATAATATATATCAAAAATTATGGGATATCATCGCCAATATTTTTTGCCTAGCAATAAATAATAATTTTACTAGTTGCCTAGCACTTACTAGTAATTTCTGAAAAAGTATTAGCGATGATATTCCATGATTTTTGTTATATCATATAATTACTTGAAATAAGTCAAAAAGATCATTATTTCTGCATATTGCAGTATATTTATGCATGTGGATTGGTGGATTAAAAATTTTCAGACGACATGATTAAGACTAAGATTTATCATATAATTATCTATAAAATACCTGTATTTCCATTTCGTAAACTTGATATTTTCACTAGTGGGGGTTTCTCTATATAGTGAAAGTAGAAAAAAGCTCTTTTAACGACAGAATTTGCCTTCATATACAATTATATGATAAATAGAATATTACATGTTCGCTTGGAGATACGAATTTTATCTTCTCGTGCTGAAAATCTCACACTCGCTACGCTCACTCGTGAAAGATCTTTTCAACACTCGAAGATAAAATCCATATCTCCGCGCGTCCATGCAATATCCTCTATACATCCATTCTAAAACATAACTAAAATATAGAAATGTATGCTATTGCTCGGAACTCTAGCTAACTTTATTTTTTTACAGATTTGTGCGAACATGGTATCATTTCGTGACATCATCCTGTGGCGTGACATAAAGGTCACGACGATCGTATTTGTCAGCGGATTCGTATTTCTTGTATGCCTGACGCAGTTCAGCCTTCTAACTGTCCTATCGACAACATCAATGATCGCCCTCGTTCCAATGCTAGTTCTCAGGCTTTTGTTTTCTGCTCGGTCAGCGTTTTGGAAAACAGAGTTTAAGCATCCTCTTCAGTAAGTATTGTTATAATATATTGTCATTATAATAATATGTAGAATTTAATTTAACTGTATTCATGAATGAGTTCAGTATGCAGTGGCATAAAGGCCGAAATATTCATAGTAGTAAAATGATAAACCTTCTAAAAAGACTATATTGACATGAAGAGGATATTGCACGGGCGTGTGGAGATATGGATTTTATCTTCGAGTGTTGAATAGATCTCTCCCGAGTGAGCGTAGCGAGGGAATTAGCATATCAATATGAATGATAAAAGTCCTGTTTTTCCCCCTGATCTTGGAAATAGAAAGGGCGACCAAACAGATAATTCCATTTAGGAGTTAATGACCCTGCCTCCCAGTCCACTAACATTTAACAATTACGAAAAACTTTAACTTTAAACTTTTCATTAAGAAAAACAGTAAATACGGATTAGCGGTAAACCTTTAGACCATATTATAACCTATACGGTTAACCCCACATGACCATCAGTAGATCATCATTATCCTGATGACTGTATATTACAATATGCCTCAAACATCACGGACATTTCTCCATATTTGACTGGTATTGTATCTGGTTATTTTCACAGTTCTTATCTTAATAAAGACATCAACGTTTCAAAAGACAAGGTACGCATGACATACAAAAGACAATCGGAGTTTATCTCTTAGACAAAAATTGTCTCCGTCACATATCATATGAGTATAAAACCTCTAAAGGTTGTGGTGAGGAGTCTAGGATTAGGAAATTACTACTGACTTGTACTGAGCGCCAGGAGATTACAGAACAAAACCGCGCTTGGGACTCTAAAAGGTTTTGGGAAATTAGCACAGACATGCACTGAACGTCAGGTTTCAGCATCTGAAAGTGCTTTTATTATCCATGGTTTCAGCGACCTGCGTACAGTTGCAAGCTATTTGTAGAACTATTAGCGCGCTACAGCCAGTGACGCCTGGCTGTTATTCGGGTTGACCACCATTTTGTACCTTTGTAAAATTGTCTAATTTATCTTGATACCCTTCACTTCTCGATATAATTCTCAATAATTTTTGGTTGTTGATATCGATTCTGAAATTATTTTATGTATATCTTGAACCAATTTAACATTACATGGTGTGTTATATCTAGTACTTTATAGCTAAACATCTTACCTCGTTTGTTCAATTAAGCAGAAATTGACTGTAATGTTGCCTTCATTTCAGGCTGATGATATCGGAGAGAAGGCTGCAAGCTACTTTGCCCATTACGCTGTGTGTGCTAGAAATCTTTTCCTTGTCGCAGATTTGGCCGATTCTGTGAAGGTAAATTTGCAGGATTCAGAATATATTTTACAATCCATCTGAGAAATATAAACCAGTCAGGTAGTGTAGAGGGACTATTGAAGATCCAAATGTTCTATTATGGCATCTAAGTCTTGTGTTATAAATTCTTGCCAGCTGATTGGCTAATAAGAGTGTGTCAATAAAAGGACATGCGCGCTGCGCTGACAACATCATGTCTCACGTGCGCTCAGCTGGACGAAAAGAATGATTTTAGCTGATTTTTAGACTTTAAGACAGATGGCTTTTTGTTGTATGTTCCTCTTATAAATAAACTCTTGACGTCACAAAAGCGGCTCAAAACTCAACTTGCTTATTTACCAAGACAGAACAGACAAATACATCGAGTAACTGATAAGTGTTACACTCTCAACTATGTTTTTATTGTCCACAGCTTCTGATAGTGCTGTACTTCCTGTCATACATCGCATCATGGTTCAGCGGTATTACTATTACATTTATGGGTAAGTCCGCTTAATATCGCGGGCTCAAGTGCAAAAGGGATTAAATGGGACTCAAAATTACATGACATACAAAATCTAGATAGCATTTCTCCGGTCTATAAGTTGGGAATACGTAAAGTAAGGAACTTTAGCCGCCTAATTCTACACATACATTCGCAGAATTATAGTGTTCTCTCCCGACGCTCTTGAGGTCGATGAAAAGAGGGAAACTGGGATCAGAAAGATGTCTGACATTTAACCCATTCCACTGATCCGCTTTTTGCTTTCTTTCTTTTATGTCAGCATTCATTGGTCTTTTTACGATCCCTAAGATCTACGACATGTATAAGGTAATCTATTAAAGAACTATTTTAATAGTTAAAACCAATTAATTATTATTTGTTATTAGAATTGATCTACTTTCTCAACCACCAATAATAATCAGAACAATATAGCTAGGCTTTTTTGAGTTGCATGAGTTGTACGAGTTTTTTAATGCCAACGAAATTCAAGATAAAACTTCGTATTTACAATGATTTCGAGTGCTAGCTTAAGGAAATATTAAAAATCGGCAGCTGAGTTAGGTCTCTGTTCTCTGATATTATCACGTTGTAAAATGGAAAGCACAAGCGACCACTTTATAATTGTTTTAAAAAGTAATTCTATCTTTGTTAGGGGTCGAACGGCAAACCATGTCAACTCCCTGCCAATAAAAGTGGGAAATATGCAACACAAATATTATAATAAATAATATACCTTATATTAATTATAACTTTATTTTTTTAGCCCGAGATCAATAAAGCAATGGAAACAATTCGTAAAGCAATCGATGATCTTCTAGACAAGTAAATGAAAATTTTGAAAATTTGCATTTTTCCCGAGTTGAGACTAACCTTGTATTTCCGTAAGACCTAATGTATGAGCCTTCTGGGAATACAGGGTTAGCCTCAACTCGGGAAAAATGTAAATTGTTATTAGCGCTATTGCACTGCACAACATTTTTTCTTGCTTTGTTTTGTTTAAGTTCTTTGCGTAAGAGAATTTGCTGTCAAATAAAACATGGGCAGGAGCCCATTACTAGGAGCCTTCCTCTTCTTCATAAGCTCTTGGAACGGCATTTACCCCTCTTGGTGCTATTTTTTGAAAAATAACTAGTGAGCAGCACGGAGTGTAAACTTTAGTAAACTTTAATATCCTACGCGTTTCGACTGTCTACACAGTCTTCATCAGGGATAGTTTAGAAGAGTTTATAGCTATTGTATATATAGTGTATATATGGGCGAGATAACTGAGGAATGCTATCTGGCGGAACAGGATATACGTGAATAACTAAATAACCACTACACCATAATAGTATGGGAGTGGTTTTACAAGATAAGTGGTTTTGGGGTCCGTGAGTTTAGCGCTAAACTCACGGACCCCAGCGCAAAACAGCCAATCAGAAAGCGACTTGAACAATAGGTTTCTGAATGACCGACGGCCGCCGGTCGACCGCCGGCGAGGAAGATCTTAGTACTAGACTATTTCAAAATTCATTTTCAGGATGTTTAAAGTTAACTTTTAGTAGAAATATTGTCCCAAAAAAGGAAAGCAGAATCACCTTTCGCTTCATATTTAGCCGATGAGGAAGCCAGTGATAGAAAACAGGTGTAATTACTCTTGGGAATACAGGGGAAAATCTGGAGAAAAAAACAACAACCAATAATTATGAACTTTTCATTGAGCAGCCGAAGACCAACAAAAATTCATTGGACAGCAAAAGCAACAAAAATCGACTCAAATCACACTCTGGATCTTTAACTGATAACCAGAGAATTTGAAATCAAATGGCTGTTGAAGACGAGGAACGAAGGTTCAAATTGTACAAAAGCGGAAAATTTTGAACTTGAGCAAACTTGAGCAAACTGAACATGACTGAAGCAAGTTATAAGCTTGCAAATTTTTACATGCAAATGGACATTGAATGGAACTCTTTTTGGGTTGACTAATTTATATGACCATAAAACAACAACATTTTAGTAGAGGACCGTTTATCGGCTGCTGTTCAAGAAAAAAGGCGCCGAAATTCCGTATAAAGCCTTAAAAGGTAACTTCATTTGTGAAGAGTTTTTGTTTAGATGCAAAATATTGTACAAAACTGTCACAAACAAATTTATTAAATGCTAATTTTTACATTTGTGATGTTACATTTTTTAGATGAAGAACTCATGATAAGAATCGATTATTTTGTGTTCACTGTCATGCTTTTTGATCAGATTCGTTGGTAAAAGAAACCAGAAATGTCGATTCTTTCATGTATGTGAGCTTTTTCGCTTTATACCTTTTCACTATCTTTAAACATTTAAATATAATAGTTAATGGTGCCATTGAACCTTTGTTACAAAATAGTTTTTGTAAAAGCGAAAATTTCTTCACTTGCACAACTTAAAATTCAATCTAAAAACACCAGAAGTACATAACCAGAAGTGTCCATCTCCCCATTGGTATCGCCACCATCAGATGTCCCGATAATCTATTTTTAGACAACCAATCACAACGCGCGCACATATTACACGGCACCTGATTGGTCCTTGTTGATCTACTTCAAGAGCGGACAAGAAAGGAAAATTATGTAGTCGATGGAGGCGAACGAAGTGAAGTTTTCATTTACGAGAATTTTACACCTTTTGCTGAACAACCATTTTTGAATTCGATAGAAAACATTCTTTACTATATAAGCAATGTAGCGAAGGAAGTTCAAGAGCAATATAGTCTGCAAAAACAAGAGAAAAGTTCAGACAAAGATGAAGAAAAATGCAAAACAGCGTGCGAAAAAAGTAGTCTAAAGTAGCTTTCTTACAGTCAATAGAGTCGGACTTAAAGAAAACCAAAGGTTAAGTAATTTGATAGACAACATACTTTACTATATGAGCAATGTAGCGAAGGAAGTTCAAGAGCAATATGGTCTGCGAAAACAAGGGAAAAGTTCAGACAAAAACGAAGAAAAATATGCAGACAAAAGGAGTGCGAAGAAATGTNTTTCTTGTCCGCTCTTGAAGTAGATCAACAAGGACCAATCAGGTGCCGTGTAATATGTGCGCGCGTTGTGATTGGTTGTCTAAAAATAGATTATCGGGACATCTGATGGTGGCGATACCAATGGGGAGATGGACACTTCTGGTTATGTACTTCTGAAAACACCTGATAGTGGCGGCCGGCGGCTCTTCACAACTCGGCATCTCAATAAGCGCGCGGGGAATGGCGGGAAAATCTAAAAATAGCACCAAGAGGGGTAAATGCCGTTCCTAGTAATGGGCTCCTGACATGGGTTATTTGATTTGAATTCGAAAATGGAGTATGTAGAAAGTTTAGGAATCAAGATTGGAGATGTAGTAGTCTAGTAGTGATGAACGTTTTATTTATATACGTCAAAAGTAGTCATAGTTTCTAATGAGTTTATCTACTCTTGAATTATCAGAATTAATGCTGCAGTACCGGTGGGCAAACCTTCCAAAGACGACAAGAAAAGCAATGGCGACGAAAAAGACAAGTCAGCGTGAATGAGAAGAAGCCGAAAATATCTTATTATGAAAAATACAAAAGAATTATTGAGTTGAGCTAAATTGATTTGAATACTGCTGGACTTGGAGCAAAATGAAACATTTTTTTTTTATATAGAGTGAATTTATTATAAATAGGCCTATTTCAATTGAATTTAAGTGGACTTTATAGACTTTTACCGCAGAATAGCGAAAGAAGCTCGATTAAAATCCATTGTATCCAAGACAAAGTAAAAAAGAAGCGAAATCTGTCACTTGACAGAAAGCCTGATAGATAATTTAGGTCTTTGCTCATTGCTAGGCTACTTTTCATTTTAATTTATTACATAGAGAAATCGTTTTCTTTTTAACCAGCAAATAAAATTTCTGTTTATATTTAAAGTCAGTTCTGCTGAGGAGACATCCATGATGCATCGCGGTAGCTCTTAATAAACATTATACAGAACATCGGCGGTTACTTTGAGCATGCGCTGTCCTTTAATTTTCAGTGTACACGCTCAAAGAGGCATTCAGAATAATTGACAGCCAACAACCCTTTGACTATATCTTAACCTGCAAGTTATGCGCATGCGCTACCGCATTATAGGAGTTAAGTCGATCTAGATCAGAATACATTATCTAATGTAAAATCTAATGACGCCGTTAAGAGACTATATCATTAGAATAAAACAAAATAAAAGAAGTAAAGAAAGTGTATTTATTGTGGAAACGAGGACGTCCAATGGCCGGATCAAACTATACCTAAACTACAAAGGAACCATCTAGCACAAAAATTGAACACTCGTGACGTCAAGAGTTTATGTCAATCAGTGTGACGTCAAGAGTATATGTCAATCAATGTGACGTCAAGAGCATATGTCAATCAATGTGACGTCAACAGCATATGTCAATCAATGTGACGTCAACAGCATATGTCAATCAATGTGACGTCAAGAATATGTCAATCAATGTGACCTGAGAGCATATGTCAATCAATGTGACGTCAAGAGCATATGTCAATCAATGTGACGTCAATAAGAGTATATGTCAATCAATGTGACGTCAAGAGTGCAGTGCGCAGTTTGTACTCTACGGCATTCGTTTCTTTCCAATGAACGTGCTCGCGTGACTTGATGCTGTCGAGCACATATTAACAGTGTACATGTCCTCAACACACTCTATTAAGCCAATCATCGCGCGAGAATTCATTCAAACTTCTAATGAACTAGTGCTAAATTGTACTGAATTATGTAAATGTTTTTTGTGTTTTATTGTTTAATTAATACAGTTTTGCGCAGTTTGTTTACAAAGTGTTCTAATGACCAGCTGGCTCACTGCATGGGTTTGGCTAAAGTTTTAATTAAAGACTACAAGTGCCTAGGTTACGGTTTTGAGAAGTATGAAAACGTCAACCCTCCAACGATGAAAACAAGCTTCGCTTATTAAACCGTAAGTTTGTGTTCTTCTTAAAATATATTTACATTGCAATGAGGTACTGCACTCTGCACTTTTAAACAATATTTTAAATATGTGAATTTATTGCATTTATAGCTTAGAAATTTAGAGAAAATGTCTTGGAAAGAATTCCTCTGAATACAGTAACGACAATGCTACGTTATAGCTCTAGTGTAAAGTTTTATAAATGTTTGCATTAACTCGTTGAAATAATATATTTATCAAATTTTTGTTCGTTTTGACTTATTTTGCGCACATAATTTTTATTTCGGCGAACCAGAAAGCGTTTAAATAGTCTAATAATACCTTATTTCTTTTAAATAATTAAAGATTGAAAGCAGATTTGTTTTGGTAAGAACTGCTTTATTTTTTGGAATATTTGTGCACCTGGTTAGAGTTAGTCATGTTATTGAAACATCATTCCATGATTCCGGCAAATTCAGAAATGTTTTGAGAAGCAATTGATGATAAGAATCCGTTAGGAATAAGAAAAGTTATGACACTGATATTGCTACATGATAATGTAAGATTTCATAGTGCAAGTATTGACAGACAAGTTCATATGCACTTTACAAATGAACAGATTCCAAGAAAATATTAAAGAAAAGGCTTAATCCAGTAACCCAACGTTTTTTGGAATTATATTAACCGCACTCATTTATTTTAGTGATTTGCGGTGATTTTATAGGCGATTTTGTGCAATTATTAGGGATTTCAATTTGTGTCCCGAAGTAAAATCAGCTGCGAAAGTCACTTTCTTTTTTTTACATTTTCCATCATTTATAATTCATTATTGAATATCTCATTAATATAGTACAAATTCATTGCAATACAAATATTCACAATAATTCAGTCAAATACAACACACTTTGAACTCTTAATATTTTCTTCTTTTTTTTATACAATTGTATATAATATTGACGTTTTTGCTAAGATTGGTGACCGAATTCATACCAGATTCTTTGTTTACTAGTGCAGGGTAGTAGAATATTGCTTTACACAAATGCGCGCTCCACGCACTTATAGTACTAAATATTCAAATTTTAGAGAAAATGCTTTCTATATATTTTTGAATTCAGAAAACGCATTCTTTAAGATAATGACAAACAAAACAACAGCTATGTCGTGCTTTCAGTTGATTTTTTTTCTCGTAATACTTATATATTTTTTCCTCATTACAGCCTTTTGCAAAAATTATGAGAATTGTTGAAATATCTAAATATCATAATATCAAGTGTATCATGATGGGTAATCCGGTGCGATGCCCTTAGTCCCTTGTCTTTGTAGTTTAGTTTTTTTTTAATTGGCGACGGACTTATCCGTAGTTCTGAACATTTTCTCGATGTCAACAATGAATTATTCTAGCAAACCCGCGTGTTCCGGACAATATATGGATATGGATATTATGATAGTTAGATATTTAGACAATTCTCATAATTTTTGCAAAAGGCTGTATACGTACTTATATTGAAACTAACCGCGCTACCGTCCCTGGTTACTACTGTTTTTATATAGGTTTTGAGCGGATAAGAAACGAATGAATGTATTACCCACCTTATACGTAGTTCATTCAACAAAATAATACTTTCTCATAGGTCGAGAGGAGTACAGCGTTAATTGTACTCCTTAGTGGTACCAATTAAGTCGTCATGAATACTCCAGTTTCGAATTCATAGCGAATAACCGCTGCTTTATTTGACAACAAATTCTCTTGCGCAAAGACTTTACAAACACAAAAGAGAGCTCGAGAAAATGTCGTTATTACAATAGAATTTAAAATTTGCATTTTCCCCGAGTTGAGATTATCCCTGTATTCCCATAAGACCTAAGGTATGAGTAGGGTTAGCCTCAACTCGGGGAAAATGTAGATTCTTAGCGCTCTATTGTATTAACAACATTTTCTCGTGCTTTCTTTTGTCGTAAGTTTTGTCGGTAAGTTCTTTGCGTAATAGAATCTGCTGTCAAGTAAAACAGCGTTTATTCGCTTTGAATTCGAAACTGGAGTATTAAAAAACAAAACAAAACAGAATTTTGTACCTTCAAATTTGACACATGCTATTAATATAATTTTTAAACACGTCTTTTTGATGCATTTTAGTTTCTATCAACAAAAGTTATGGAATGAAAACCAACACCAAAGAAAAAATCTCGAATGAACGCGCATTACGTGTCTAGTTTTATATTAATAATGCCATAATATTATAATAAATTTGCTTCACTGAATGTACTTTAAACAAAAAATCGCACGACCTCTCGTACAATTTGGAAATGATAGTCTCTTGTAATGTTTTGAAAGTTTTCAAATTGCTCGTGCAATTACGAAGAACTTTCAAAACATTACTTGTGACTATTGATTCTCATACTCATTAATCAATCATGAGTATTCAAAGTATTAGAAATAATGAACTTAATATAGAATTAATTTAGTGAAAAAAGTTCTTTGATAAATGACTCCCTCACGAAACGCTAACGCCTCGGACTGGAACTAATTGCGCGGACTTGAAACCCCGTCCAGTCCTCATTGTCGGACTTTAAACATTACTTCCAAATTGTACTCAAGGTCGTGCGATTTCCTATACATATGACTTAGTGTCCTTCCCTAGCTCCGTCGTTATCGCTGTTGCTCCAATTATCTCCCAGTTCCCAGTAAGTCCCTCCCTGCCAAAGCAACTGATAGAAATTGCGTTCAGTCAAGTTCAAGTTGTAACAGAAACCTTAAGGGACTTGAAACGTGTAGCGCTTTGCCATCTGTTGGAATATCCAGATCTAATTTGCATCTCATTTCCTTATTTGGAACAATTCAATTTACCCTAGCCAACCAGAACGGTCCTTAAATCTCTTATCCAACAGCCGAACTTTCAAAATATGGTCATAACGTTCGTTTTCGAATTTTTAATAAGATTTGAATATTCCGACGCTTGGTACTAAAGAAATGTACGTTACACGTTTCATGTCCCCTATAGATTTCTGGTTGTAAACATTGCACAGAATTTGCTTCTTTTGATAATGATTTTGATGGTGAATATGATGAGGTGTTTTGTTCGCTTTCCCACAGAAATGACTTAGAATTTCAGTCCAATCTTTATTATTGGACACATGTTGGCGTCGACTGCAGTTCACGCATGCCTAGTTGCACTACTTATAGATCAGTGCAAAGCATGCAAGCATGCATCGAATTACAATCGACATCCGGGCATCGAGCTACAAGGTCACGTGATCAAAACAATGACGACATCAGACTTGGGTGATTGTGTGATTGGATGCATCAAGACGCCAGGGTGTTTGTCTATCAATTCTCACAACGCTGATAACGTCATACAYTGTGAGCTTAACAAGTCAAACCGGTATGGCAGCCAGGCGAACCTGATTAAAACCAGTTTTGATCGAGCATATTTGGAATTGGTAAGTTATGACAAGGAATGGTCATATTTACGAGCATTTTATTTATGTATGACAGACAGAAAACAAATAGTAAAATCGATGATTTAGCACCTTAATAATAATTATTAATCGAATTCCGAATTGTAATGTCATTGAACTGCATTTCGTTTTCTTTGAACTCAGATTTCCAATCATTGGCCGGACGCTTGCTTTCAAAAAGGTATGTAAAGTTTGGTTTATAATGATATCCAAAACTGGCTCGAACCAATAATAATTGAAATAACCAAACGTTTATATTCAGATGGTTGGTATCGAGGCAAGTCTGCCGCGTATAAGTTTGTTCAAGAGAGTGCGGTCGCTCTAGAAGCTCGTCAGCGGTGTAACAATATGTCAGCAGGCGCAGATCTGGTGTCTTTTGCTGACAAAGAGGAAGAGCAGATCTTTGACCAATATATTCGAGGTGAGACTTAAAATAGAGCGATTTTGGCATAATGTATTTCATTATAATGAGAAATATAGCGTGCAAATCAACTGAACATTGAGGATATGTATGATCTGCATCCTGCAGATTTAATATTTTAATAAATTTATTAGAACTATTCATAAGCTGCAAAGGATTAACATGCATTTAGTTTATTTCAATTCAACTAAATTTTATTGAAAAATGATTTTGAAAAAAGGCCAAGCTATTCTTAACACACTAAAAACCTATCAAACTTTAAAAAACTTATACATAATTAATGAGCTACTAGGCCAATAGAATGAGCCTATTTGGTCACATGCATGGACCTTTATATCTGATAAAACACTCCTTATTAGTATTCTTTATATAAAGAATACTAATAAGGGTGACCTTTATCAGATATAAAGGTCCATGACCTTAGCAAAGGTCTCAGGTTTGAAACCTGATCATTGACCAATGCAGGATGTCAACCAATTTCAGTGAACAGCCAAGAGCGGTTCTATTTTACTTTATGCGTATTCAATGTGGGATGACAAGAGTCCTTTGTAAAGTGATTCGCGCATGATCAGTTTGCCCTATTTATCTCTGAACATATTTGAACGGCAATTTCTCCAAGAATTTTAACGGATTTGAGTTTCAAATTAGTGTTGGAGTTTTTTAAGCCGTTTAAAACACGAGAGAGAGTGTTTTATATACATAAAAGCGCATGTTGCATTTATTTTATAAATTTTGCTATTTAAACGTTTTGAAATGATTTAGTGTATACACCCTTTTAATAAGTCCCGAGGTTTTGTGTTCTCCGCACTTGACATCAAATTTATTCTTTTGAATTCCTTTTGTATTGTAAAAATTTCAAAAGAATAAATTTGACGTCAAGTGCGGAGAACACAATACTTCGGGACTTATTAAAAGGGTGTATACTCGCGTAATTCCATTTGACAGGTAAAAATGCATTACGCGAAGTGAGAAACACAACAAGGATTTGTGTTTAGCTAATAGAGCACTATATGCATAAAGGTTTTCCTTTTTTCTAGAGTTTGGAAAGTGGGGCCGAATATTTATAGGGCTCAACGACATTGCTAAAGAAGGGACCTTTATTTGGTTTGATGGAACCAAATCTGAGCACAGAAACTGGAAAGATGGTGAACCGAATAATGATAAAAATATGGAAGATTGTGCGGCTAAATTCCAAAAAGAAGGCACGCCGTATGCAGGACAATGGAATGATATCCCATGTGATCACAAATCGTTTTTTGCATGTAAAACATTATGCATGTAAAGTCACACAAAGTTTATAATCCCATTCATAAGAATCTCTAGAAAAATAAAGAGCATGTAGTCCTCATAGCCTCTTCCCCAGGCAGCTCTTTTTTCCTCCTTTAGGCTTCCTTTGTAACGGTCATCTTGGCCGCTTGGCACTAGTGACGAGAAAGGAAAAATAAGTCCTCTCTCAACCCCATTCTCCCTCTTTTGACTCTTAAATAAGACAGGAAGCCCGTGATTCTTAGTGATGCCTGCGGAGGAGGCCATAGTCTGCACTGATTCACAGTATATACTCTAAAATATCTCCCCAAAAGTCGTAATTTTTGTTTTCTTTGTATAAACGGTACAACTACTCGTATTTTTATCCAGAAAAAAAGCAAAAACTGAGTGTAGAAGGACACTTGCAGCGGAAATAAAAAGTACGAGGATTACAACTACCATCATACTTCATATGGAACTTATTGCCATACATCGGGTGACATTTGCTTGGATTATTGTCCAGGCTCACTCATGCATCCATGCATGCATGTATATATGCATGTAAWTTATTTATTTACTTCATGAAATATAATACAATGGAATTAATTAATATTTTGTCGTCGATCGACCTCATTAACATCATCATCTGACCATTAAATACTATTAATAGCAAAGTCACCTCTAGAAAGGAAAGTACATGTACATATAATATCACAGTTACGTTCACTGACTGATATAAATTTTTCAAATATTGAATTAACACAAAACTGCATAGTTTTGAGTACATTTTCAACATATAATAAGAAAGCAATAATTTGAAAAATTCAAGTTTGATTTTTGTTGCTTGTGCCTACAGAAGTAGTCTCCTTTGCATCCGTTCATCGTCGGGACAGGAATCCCGAAACGCAAACGGATGCGAAGCAACGCCAACTTTTCAAAGGCGAAAATACGTAATTTGATTTTTAAATTTTCTCACGAAAAATACACAGCAATGTCACACATACATTTTATTTCTTAAATCCGGTGCTAGGTTTTTTATTAACAAAATAAGTTATGCGCGAGGCCCAGTTTTTTGGAGCGAACTGTGGTGAAAACATGGATCGCCATACTATTTTAATGCTCAACTTCAACTCTTCAAGGGCAAAAATACGTGATTGGATTTTCGAATTTTCTCATGAAAAATACCCAGAAAGGTCGCATATAGATTTTATTTCTTAAATCCGGTGCTAGGTTTTTAGGATTGTTTTTAATGTCGCCGCATTTCTTCAAAAAGTCTTGAAATCTGGCCTTTTTTCGTCAAATTTGGCACTTCATACGGACTGTCAGGTCAAGCTTGAGTGATCACGGACTATTTGTCCCCCATAAGTTCCATATGGCTGTATAACAAAATGGCGTCACTACACATTGCCTAATCATTCAAAATTTTAATGAAGTAGAGCAAATTGTACTGAATTATGCAGGTGTCTTTGTGTTTTATTGTTTAATCGATAACATTTTACCAAGTATACAAAGTGTTCCTTGGATGTAAAAAGGATGACCAGCAGCGATACCGTATTGTTTTATGACTAGAGTTTAAATTAAAGATGAGTTTTGCAAATACCTCGGAAACGTCGTTAAAATGTCGACTTGCCAAGGATGAAAATATTAATAATCTTCGCTTTTTGAACCGTAAGTTTGTGTTCTTCTTAAAATATTTTTTACATTGCAATGAGGTACTATATTCTGCACTTTTAAACAAAATTTAAGTAGACGTCAATGGCATTTATAGCTTAGAAATTCATTATACGGCATCATATCAGAATTAGAGATAGAAACTGTCATGTAAAGAGTTGGAAATTGTCATGAAAGGAATGAATACTAACTGTTACGACAGTTACTGCCTTTTAGTTGCACCTGTTTTGGGATAGTTTTTTTATAAAAATTCATAAAAGTGTATTTCAACTCGTTGACTATACTATAATTATTTAATTTTGTTTATGACTTATTTGCGCGCATAATTTGTATTTTTGGCGAATCAGAAAGCGCTGAAATAGTCTAATCTTATATTATCTTTAAAATAATTATTTTTTGGTATATATTTGTGCACCTTGTTAAAGTAAGTCATGTTATACCATCATTCCATATTTATTGATCCCGACAAGTTCAGAAATATTTTAATGTTTAATCATTTCCGATTTAACTTAAGGCTTCATATACGTATACAGAAAGGCACTTCATTAACACTTTATAACAATAATAATAATAATAATAATAGAGTGCACGCCAAAAAAGCGTGAAACAATTCTTAACTAGAGTTCTCGCACTAAATGCGTGAAATATAAATACTACAAAATAGGTGATAAATTATACAAATTCCTTTGTTTCATATTGTATATTCAACACTATTAAGTAGTAATTAGTACTATTTGTTTCACGCTTTAAGAAAAAAGTTGTGTACGGTCTTGACTGATTCAACCTCAGAAGATCTCTCTCCAGTCCCTCGCTGCCAAGCAACAGTGATAGGAATGCATTGCATTTAATCAGGTTCAATTTGCAAATATTGCACAAAATTTACTACTTTTGATAATAATGATGATGATGAATATGACGAAATGCTTTGCTCAATTTCTCACAGAAATGACTTAGAATTTCAGTCCAATCTTTATTATGGAGCACATGTTGGCGTCGACCGCAGTTTGCGCATGCCTAATTGCACTACTAATAGTTCAGTGCAAAGCATGCAAACATGTATCAAATTACGATCGACATCCGGGCATCGATCTACAAGGTCACGTGATCAAAACAATGACGACATCAGACTTGGGTGATTGTGTGATTGGATGCATCAAGACGCCAGGGTGTTTGTCTATCAATTCTCACAACGCTGGTAACGTCATACATTGTGAGCTTAACAAGTCAAACCGGTATGGCAGCCAGGCGAACCTGATTAAAACCAATTTTGATCGAGCATATTTGGAATTGGTAAGTTATCACAAGGAAGGGTCATATTTACGAGGATTTTATTTAATGTATGACAGACAGAAAACAAATAGTAAAATCGATTATTTAGCACCTTAATAATAACTATTAATCGAATTCCGAATTGTAATGTCATTGAACTGCATTTCGTTTTCTTTGAATTCAGGTTTTCAATCATTGGCCGGAAGCTTGTTTACAAAAAGGTATGTAAAGTTTGGTTTATAATGATATCCAAAACTGGCTCGAACCAATAATAATTAAAATAACCAAACGTTTATATTCAGATGGTTGGTATCGAAGCAAGTCTGCCGCATATAAGTTTGTTAACGAGACTGCGGACGCTCTAGAAGCTCGTCAGCGGTGTAACAATATGTCAGCAGGCGCAGATCTGTTGTCTGTTGCTGACAAAGAGGAGGAGCAGTTATTGGAAAAGTATCTTCAAGGTGAGGCTTGAAATAGAGCGATTTTGCCTAATGTATTTTTGCATAGTGATGAATTAAAAAAAAATGATCTTGAAAATGGAAACCATTCCAAAACACGCTTATGTGCCCATTCACACTATGACATAAGCAGAAACCGAAGCAGAAGCTTGTTCACACTTGACAGAAGCATGTTCTTCTGCTTATGTTGTTCCGGTTCACACTCATAATCTTTCAACAAAAGCAGAAACAGAATCAGAAGAAAATGAAAACGTTAACTTTTTCATTTTCATCTGCTTCTGTCTCTACTTCCTTTTTTCCCCGGTTCACACATACAAACTACACTTCTCCCGGAATTGCCTCCTTCTAAGCACTATAACTTTCTTTCATTTCTATATCAAACTACACTTCTACACTCCTTCTACTTATGCCACAGTGTGAACCGGTCCTAAAACCTATCAAAACCTATTATATAAAGCCGCATATTGGATTTTTTTAGTATATACCTTTCTATTTACAGTCATATTCAAAGATTATGGCCACTGTCATATATCATTATGTCGGGTGCATCATGAGTAATCTCATGTGATTTTCGCGCTTTTCTTCAGAGCTAAAACAGATCACAAATCATTCATATATTTTGAAATTAATCGTATGAGGAAGTGGCTGTTCCCAATATATATATAATATATATATTGAAATTACGCACAATCTGCAGTTTTATGACAAATTAAAAGTCTTGATACTTGAAATATCAACAACCCTATATTGATATTATTTATAATTTAGCGGCCAGAATTTCTTCAATTGACTGTCAATGTTATGAAATTGTTTAATGTTATTTATCATATAATTATCTATGATAAAATTTGTAAAATTTAGTGAAAATATCACATTTGAAGTTTCTGTATATAGTGGAAGTAAGAAAAAAGCTCTTTTACGACAGAATTTGCCTTCATATACAATTATATGATAAATAGAATATTACATGTTCGCTTGGAGATACGAATTTTATCTTCTCGTGTTGAAAATCTCTCACTCGCTACGCTCACTCGTGAGAGATCTTTTCAACACTCGAAGATAAAATCCGTATCTCCGCGCGCCCATGTAATATCCTCTATATATCCTAGCGCAATTCCATTTAACTGACAAAAATGCGTCATCGCATACAATTGCCATACAAATTGTGTCATGACAGAGAGTTGACTGGTTCTGAGGAAAACAAAACACTCTCTAGACATTTCCTCGGTCTTCCTTTCGCTTTTTAATGAACTGCCGGCGTTGTCAAATTGTTTAAATCTCGATAAAATTTAAGATTTGCGCGAAATTCCCATGAAATCTAGAAGTCCGCGACAATTTGTACCCAGGCCTCCCTCGGTCATTTTCCCATTGAGAGTCTGGGTACCAAAAAAATCTCGTTTTCATGAAGACAGGGAATACCTGGGCACTATTTTATACAAATAGCCGATATTGAGAGAGGAATACTCTCACACAATGAGACAGGATTTGTAATAGCTAATAGAGCACTATAGACAGGGAATGCCTGGACACTATTTTATACAAAATAGCCGATATTGAGAGAGAAATACAATGAGACAGGATTTGTAATAGCTAATAGAGCACTATATGCATTAATGTTTCCCTTTGCCTCTAGACTTTGGAAAGTGGGGCCAAATATGGTTAGGGATCAGCGACATTGCTAAAGAAGGGACTTTTGTTTGGTTTGATGGTACCAAATCTGTTTACAGAAACTGGAGAGATGGTGAACCGAATGATAATCACAATAAGGAAGATTGCGCGAGCAAACTGCAAGGAGAAGGCAAGTCGTTTGCAGGACAATGGAATGATGTGACATGTGATTCCAAACATTTTTTCGTCTGCAAAACATTATGCATGTAAAATCACACAAAGTTGTAATCCCGTAAAAGAATCTCCAACAATAGCCTCCTCCACAGGCAACTCTTTTTTCCTCCTTTGGGCTTCCTTTGCAACGGTCATTTTGGCCGTTAGGGACTAGTGACGAGATAGCAAAAATTAGCTCCCCTTTTCTCGCCCCCATTCTCCCTCTTTTGACTCCTCAAAAAGACAGGAAGCCCGTGATTCTTAGTGATGCCTGCGGAGGAGGCTACTCCAAAAACATAAAGAACAGACTAAAAACCAAAGTATCGAAAATCAATGTTTGCCAAGTAATTTGGATTCATTAAAAGTCCTTGAATTGTAAGGAGGCAAAGCAAGCCGGTAAAATAATTGCACGCTAAATTATAAATGTATTAATTGCAAATGAAATAGTGTATTCAAATTAAAATATTGTATCGAATCGCATCTTATCGTATCGTATTGTATCGAGTCGACTCGTATCCTATCGATAATGTATACAGAACGAGAGAGCGTGTTGTATTGGGTGATCTTTAGCCCCGACACAAACACGCTCTCGAGTTCTGTATCAAACTTAACAATAATTCACATTATAATGTTTTGAATAATGATTAATTAATAAAACATTACTTCTGTATCAATGATACAAATAATATTATAAGATATTCAAAGCTGCCCCCAACTTTGAGGTTGCTGCACCTTTTACCCAATATAATGGTTTAATCACGTGATTAGATTCTCAGTATATCATTGGCTAATGACATTATGAATTATTTGACAAAGTATCGTATCGAATCGCATCTTTTGTATCGTATTGTATCGAATCGAATCTATAACATCGCATCGCATCGCATCGAATCGCATCTTGCATTGTCGTATCGTAACGTATAGTAAACAATATACTGACACTTAACCAATAGACTCACAAAACGTCAAGAGCATATACGCAATGGTGATAATTTTAGGTTAGGTCTTGATATCATATTTCAAATAAGTTAATATTATCCAGTTGTTCACTCTTCCAGTGAACGGTCCTGTCGTCAAAGGTTCGAAGTCGCTTATGATGATATTTGGTGTGGGAAAAAATGGGCCACTTTTCTCCGACAACACTTTTCAAATACCTGTATAAATTACAATAAACAGCTCGTTAAACGTCTGCAAGAGTCACGGTTATGTAAGTATAGTTAAAAACATTCGCGTCCGTGAATGTTGTAAATGACTTATAAAACTCCAACACTAATTAACATTAATTACGGCGAGATTAATGACGAAAAATGACAATTAAGGTAGCTGCTGAGTTTAGTCGCTATTAAGCATGCGCAATTTAGTCCCTATTGCATGCGCAATTTACTGCAACACAGAACATTTTGAATAATTATCCATCCCACATGGAAAGCAAGCCATCTGTTGCATAAGCGAGTTCTGTTATCCGTCTTTGATTGCTTCAAAACCTAGTGAAGGTCTATGATGCGATACTGAAACTGAGACCTTTGCTAGTGTTGGGTTGTCTCAAGGTGAAGACCGTGTTGTAAATCTGATACAACACTAGTGTTGTATCACAGTGTTGTATTAGATTTACAAGGTCAATCACCTGATTAAATGGACAGCCCTGATTGGAGTAATAGCTCATGCATTATTAATAAGTTTTATAATATCTCTTTTAAAAACGACCTAACTCAAGTACATCATCATGTAGTAACAAATCGGTGTAATATTTTATTCTTTGTTTGATTGCATAAAGTTAAATTTTATTTATCTTTTGGTGGCAACAAATGCATTTCTTTAAGCTTTTTAATTTTCAATTTTTTTTATTTCTATATTGCTTGCAATTCGATTGCATTTTTACGAGGAACTAACACAGTCATACTTTCTTTACTATATATACAAGCACACACTTTATATTATGACGATTTGTTGTCCTTAATATGCTAGTTTGTCACTTAGTCTTAGGATACACGATAAGAGTTAGAAAATTAAGCAAAAGGAAACTTACTAATTAAACGAGTTAATTTAATAAAATGACCAGAAGATATCATACTGGCGCGCGGAGATACGGATTTTATCTTCGAGTGTTGAAAAGATCTCTCATGAATGAGAGGAGATAAAAATTGTATCTCCATGAAACGACCATATTTTGCCCGTAAAATTTCATAGATTAAGGATCCTTTGCACTTGAAGGTCAAAGAAAAAATATCAATTTTCTCTGTTGAGTTAGCGCTGGGTTAGCTTTAGGCCCGATTCTTGCAGCGCGATTCTCAAGGCGATCGTCGCGCGACTTTCGCCTGAGTTTCGAACATGCTTGAAAACTGGCTGCAACTTAGCGGCGATTTTCCATCGTCGCAACAATCGCAAATCGCAGGGCTGTTTACATGTGCGATTTGAGTTGCGCGATAGCAAAGTGGCGAGTATCTCGCTGCAAAAATCGCAAGTGTAAATGGGCCTTTATTATAGCCGAAAGTCTTCATTTAATGAAACCTATTATTTTTTAATATAGGTTCATTAAGCGAAGACAAAAAATGCTAGATTTGATTAGMAAACGACATCCGTAAATAAGGAAATACCCAAAATAGCTATCAGTCCTCCATTCTCGATGGACAAGTTTTTTGAAACAGCTGTACAATATGATACAATAAGCAGCTGTGAGGGTCATGGTCACATTTATTGAAAATCATCCTTGGGGATGAAGACTGCAAGACTTCTTAAAGAAAAGGTTAGAATTCATGATTTATTGAGTTAGCAATATACTGTATCAATGATGTAATATAAAAGCTAAATAGAGGATATTACATGGACGTGCGGAGCTACGGATTTTATCTTCGAGTGTTGAAAAGATTTTCAACACGAGAAGATAAAAATCGTATCCCCAAGCGAACATGTAATATTCTATTTATCATATAATTTTATATGAAAACAAAATATGTCGTGCATTATTTAGCGAAACCTCGGACATGTGTTATTTTCACTAGTGAAAATATCAAATTAATTACGAGATGGAGAAATATAGGTGTTTCATAGATAGTTATATGATAAAATGATTTAATATTTACACCGTGTTAACTTGCATCTTCTTTGAAAATCCTGAAGGAGCTTCAGTAATTCGCGCTAGRTTATAAAAAAATAAATGAGAAAAAAATAAGTTCTGAGTTTAATAGTAGCTTAAATATACAAGACCAAAGGAAATATTTCAAGCTAGCAGTGAGCATGAATTGCAATTTTTGACACACTCGCCGCGTAAAATTTGAATAACAGTCAAAACTAAGACTAAGATGGTCTTAACTATAAGAGGGTGTGTCACAAATGAAACTACAATAATCAAAACAGTATATAGATATTTGATATAAACATATCAAAAAGTATATTGCTGAAGAAGGCCGAAGTGCCGAAACGTTCGAATAAAGAGTAGGAATACTAGTTGCAAGTTGTTTGCCTTTTTCTTAGTATACCCTTGGGTGTTTTTAAAATTAAAATTACCGCAAATCCTTCATGTCGACTCCAGATTTCCTTAGAAGCCTTCTTCTCAGCTCAACGTTAACGGTTTTATAACAAAACCATCACCGGGCTAGGTGAATAAGTAAGTCCTGATGATTGTAATCAAACAGAAATATTACTCTTACCGTCTCATTCGCTATTTGATGTTGAATATCAACTAGGAATATGAATATATTGGCTATTACATTCATTTTGCTATGTATGGAAGTCATATTTACGGTCTTGTAAAAAACTTGTTAAGACTGAATTTTAAAATTCCAGAATTTTACGTCAAAATTTAAAATATTCTTATAATGTATTGCGCAAATGARTGTCCAAAAMACTGTTTTRTATGTGCGTCGTTTTTCTTTAATTGTTGCTCAAAAACGCTAATGAAAGTTTGAAAACGTTTAGGAACCCACGGACGCATCCGCCTGTGTCAAATGYAAATTTTTTTTAATGAAAGTTCCATTGTTCTCTTGAGTCTCCGTTGGCGTTACTGCATGTCTGTTTGCTCTCATGACAATTTTATTTTCTTTTTATTTGACAGCAGATTCTATTACGCAAAGAACTTACCAAACACAAAAGGAAGCAAGAGAAAATGTTGTAAGTATACAATAGCGCTAACAATTTACATTTCCCCGAGTTGAGGCTAACCCTGTATTCCCAGAAGGCTCATACCTTAGGTCTTATTGGAATACAGGGTTAGTCTCAACTTGGGGAAAATGCAAATTTCAAGGCTATTGTAAAAACGAAATTTTCTCGTGCTCTCTTTTGTCTTTGGTCAGGTTTGCACAAGAGAATCTGCTATCAAATAAAGCAGAGGTTTTGCGCTTTCAATTCGAAACTGGAGTACTCTGTTTCGATTTTTCGAATTAACAATTTTGCCATGACGTCAGAAAATGATCAAAACTCAAGTGGAACCACGAGCGTAGCGAGTGGTTTCACTGCCAAGTTTTGATCATTTTCTGGCGTCATTTTCATTGTCGATAAGCGTTCAGACCATAGAAAAGCGATTTCGATTTGTTTTTTACCATAACAAAGCCGAAAACAAAGTAAATCTTTCAAAACAAAACCGTTTCTGGCGCGCGCCGGCTCGGTGCGCGAGCGATTCGTCATTTCATCGGTCTGTCCTACGATCGACAACGGCTCTCGACCAATCAGCGCGCGAGAATTCTACAAGTCATGGTAAAATTGTTAAATCGAATTCGCTTTTCTATGGTCTATACGCTTATCGACAATGAAAATGACGTCAGAAAATGATCAAAACTCAAGTGGGACCAGGAGCGTAGCGTACAAAAGCGAAAAACGAAATCGAGTTAAATCGAATTCGAATCGAATCGAATTAATTTCGATTGAATGTTTTCTATAAGTACCTCTTTTCTGATGGATGGACATCAGGCTGAAGGATCAATTAGGATTAGAAATTAGGATAGACCTCTAATCGGCTAACGCGTTGGCAATATGTACTTTACCACCCAATTAATATCCCGGCTGTGGGAAAAAGAACTTATGTTTCTAAGAATTCAACTGTGGAATGAAAATACAACGAACAATTTTAA